AGCCCAGTGCATTTCCGACCAGGAACACATTGCTAGTGAACTCAAGCACGTACACCAAGCTCTCAAGGCTAATGGTTACTCCGACTACACAATCCGCAAAGCCATCACTCCAACCATGAAGAAGGATCCTCTTGAGGAGCCATTCAAAACCATCACCTTACCCTACATTGCGGGTGTCACAAAAAAGATCTCCAAAATCCTGAATAAACACAAGATCCAGGTCCGATTGAACACAGTACATAAAATCCGTGATCTGGTTCCGTCTGTAAAAGATGTGGTTCCAGACATACAGTACCCTGGCGTCTACAAACTAAGTTGCCTCTGTGGTAGCAGCTACATTGGAGAAACCAAACGACATATCTCGGACCGCATCCATGAACATAAAGCAGACTTGAAACACGGTAGGACGAACACCTCAGCCGTGGCAGATCACTGTTATAATTCAGTGGGCTCACATGACATTGACTTCTCCAAGACGGAGGTTCTCTGCAAGCCATCCGGCTACCATGAGAGATTCGTTCATGAGGCTATCCACATATACAAACACAGAGACAATTTCAACCGAGAAGATGGATTCTGACATAGTAATCATTGGAAAGAGGTCATCAATCATTTCGGTTCTTGATTGATTGTATTTTACAGTGACTTTCAGACCACAGTCCATTCGCTGGCACTGCCTCTTAATACTTTTCACACGACGGTCAATAGTATAGTTTATAGCATTTGTATAATAATAAATAGTATAACAGTGTAATGTGTAACATAATTCATAAGACAATATATAGTACCGTAATTGTATAATGAATATACAGCAGTGTGGCATACAGTAGGGTTAATAGAATCATACATAGTGTAATACTACAAGTCAAAAATTTTATAGTCTAAAGTATAGGGTAGTGTATAGTAACGCATTGTATAATTCAAGGGTGGGATTTGTCTATGGATACGATATTATATAATGTAGTTTAGATTGGAAGGTATAATATTGTATTGTATAGTAGTCCAGTTTATAGCATAGTTATAACGCAACACAGGACAGAGCAGCGCACCGTTGCCGTTTCCTCTTCCCCTCCCCCCCCCTCCTCCGTTCCGATCATAGATGGACTCGTCTGTCTGAACACAAGCTCGTCATTCTCCGTGGTGTTAATCCCTCATACTAACATCATGCTAATCCCCCAGTTACATGCTAATTTACTGTTGATATGTAAACTGCAGCTAATCCCTCACACCAACATTATGCTCGTCCCCCAGTTACATGCTAATTTAAACGTAAGCTCCTCTCCCCCCTCGCCTCGTCCGTCTGAACATAGCTCGTCGCTCTCCGTGGTGCTAATCCCTCACACCAACATCATGATAATGACCAAGTTACATGCTAATTTATATGTTAACTCCTGTGTCAAGGCACTCTGTTCCTCTCACCGAGCTTAAAAGACGCTGCCAAGCTTGGCAGTGTTCACTCAAGCGCTGTATACACGACAGTTCCGTTTCTTCACCTGAGGAAGGCTACTTGTGTTGTGGCCAAAACGTCGTGAGAATTTTATTCTGTTATTATTATTTTTATTATTTTTTTCCCATTCTACGTGACTTTACTGAAAGAACCCAGAAGATGAATCCCTGCAGTCACGAAAGCTTTAAATCGAAATAAAACACAAGTCATGTTTAGATGTTCAAAGGCAAAATGCATTGCTTTTGGAGGCCATCATCAAGTCTCTGCGTTAACCACCACGGACTTGGTTCACAGCATGCAAATAAACATGCTCTGAAATAAGAATTATGTTTTACCCTTTCTGGCAACGCATCACGAGGTGTTAAGATGTTCAAACACCCCGAAGCAATAATAATTAAAAAAACACACCCCCCACCAGATCTACCGGAAATCTGAGATGGATCCGATTGCGAGTCACCACGCCGCCCCCATCGTCCCGCTGGCGCCGGCGACGTCACCCGGCGGGCTGGCGCCGGCGTCCCCCTGGCGGTACGAGCTCACGAGCTGGGACCTGCCCGTGACCACCAACCTGAGCTCGGTGTCGTCGGCGCAGCGAAGCGTCGTCGCCGTCGTGCCGTTCGCCGGACGGGCGGCGGCGGCGGCGGCGGCGACGACGGCGGCGACGGCGGCCACCGCGGCCACCGCGGTGGGCGACTCCCTGCTGCTGAGGGTGGAGATGCGCGACGCCGCGGGCCGGCGGAAGCGCCACGGCGGCGACTTCCTGACGGCGCGCATCCACAACAGCGCCCTCGGGGCCGCCGCGTCGGGAGTCGTGACGGACAACGGCGACGGCAGCTACGCGGTGGAGTTCGTCGTCGCGTGGGCCGGCGAGAGCCTGGTGGAGGTGACGATGGTTAACCCGAGCGAGGCGGTGGGGCTGCTCGAGAGGGTGAGGGAGTCGCTGCCGGACAAGGTGAGCTTCTGGGGCCTGTTCCAGTTGGGCGGAGTCAAGGCGACCACCGCCTGCCACGTGCTCCTGAACGCCAGCGGGGAGGTGTGCGACTACACCGACCCGGAGCTCGGCGAGCCGTGGGTGTGCCAGAAGCCGCCGGGTCTGCCCTGCCACTCGCTGCGGGGCTGCTGGTCCTACAACAAGTACCCGCGCATCTTCACCGACGACGAGAAGAGAATTCTCTCAAGGTTGCGATGATAACGGGAGCAGTTGCCGTGATGTGTTAACGTGTGTGTGTGTGTGTGTGCGCGCTCTTGTGTGAGTCCGGAAAAAAAAACAACCCCTTGGCTCCTCGGCGGTGCCGGACGATAACGCTGGATGTGAGCAGTGCCATGGGGGGAACGGCCAATTCCAGAATCGGCTATACCCCTCATGGTGCTTGTAACCACCACAGCGGCCAAATGGGGACTCTGGACGGGTGTGGGGGGCTGGTAACTCTTCAATTAAATGCCATTCGGAATGTTCGAACGCTTACTGCAGAGGAGAGGTTGCCACTCCTCTGTCGGGAGCTGGCCCGGTAGGAGGCTGCTAGACTTACTGCAGCCCATGGGCTTGTAATTTTGAACACGTTCATATTCTTGGTTCTTTCGGTAAAGTCACGTAGAAGGGAAACAATAAAATAATAAAAATATAAAACAATACAATTCTCACGACGTTTCGACTGCAACACAAGCAATCATCATCAGGTGTTGCAGTCGAAACGTCGTGAGAATTTTATTGTTTTATATTTTTATTATTTTGTTTCCCTTCTACGTGACTTTACCAAAAGAACCAAGAATATGAATCCCTGCAGTCACGAAAGCTTTAAATAAAAATTAATGAACACGTTATTCCGGCATCAGTGCATCCACAAAACTTAATAGCTGCACGCCTAGTCCAAGCAAGAACATCTACTGGACTATGAAGTGACAGAAGAGCGGATGCGGGCCCATGTCTATGACACCAGGACCTACCATGGAGCTGATCTGCCCACTGACCATCGGCTTGCCATCAGATACACCTGCCATTCTTCTACTCCAGGGGTGGGTGTACATCTAGGACCCCATTCAAACCCACAGTGGCCTGGTCTCAGCTAGCTGATGAAAGTTGCAAGCGAGAATTCCATCATCGCTTGCAGTTGGAGTTGGCATCGTCCCCCACTCCACCTGATGCCGAGAGAAAATGGGCAAGGTTTAGGACTGTTGCTCATTCAACTGTAATGGCTGCTTTGGGTACACGGTCCAAACTTCCCCAGAAACCCTGGCTGATGAAGGAGGTGTTCCGGCAAAATGAGAAAAAGCGACAGGCTCACTCTCACCATCTGCAGGATCCCATGTCCGAGAATGAGGAGGCTTACCGCAGCCTTCGCTCAGAGGTTCTGAGAACCGTGAGGCGCTGCAAGGATGGGTGGTGGTCACATGTAACTGGGGAGATGGAGTCTGCCTCAGTAGCCCGCGATCATAAATTACTCTTTAAATCCACCAAAAAAGTAACTTGCAGTGCCACACCTATCACCATCATTAGGAGAACGAACGGTGATATGACTTCCAGTCCCCCACGAATAGCTTTGCAGATTTTATGAGCATTTCTGTGAGGTGTTGGTGGAGGAGAAATCCCTCAGTCTGGAAAATATCATGGGGCAAACTGGGGATGACCCTGCTGAGACTGCAGTGCCTTAAATATTGGAAGGTAATCCAGAGTCTGAGACCAGGAAAACTGCTGGGCAGAGATGATCTTCCCAGGGAAATGCTGAGGGAGGGTGGCGTTTGTGTACTCCCTGCCCTATATGACATCATAACAACAGTCTGGAGCACTGGACGGGTTCTGCAGAAATAAAAGGATGCCCTGGCAGTCCCCCTGTTTAAAGAAGGGAGACCGCACAGACTGTAACAACTACAGGGGCATCTCACTCCTCAGTGTGCCAGAAAAGGTCCTGGCAAGGATTATTCAACGTTGCCTTGCCAGGCACGCTGAGGAGAGGCTTGCGGAGCCCCAATGCGGTTGCAGGCCAGGATGGCCCTGCACAGATGACATTTTTTCTGTCCGTCTGCTACAACCGTGCTAATCGGAGGTGGCAGGACCGAAGGACAACAAAGCAAACCTAACACAACAACAATAATAAGCAGTTTTAAATAAATTAGCTTTCAATCTAATTGCGTGATGGACTGGACTCGTAGGAGCGAGCGAGCGAGTGAGCGAGCGGCGATGATAGCCGGCGTCCGGACTCTTACTCAACCCCTTTGTGTGTGGCTGCATTGCAGGGAGTACCTCCACGCGAATCTGCCCGTGTCACACGTCGTGCAAGCGGTGACGGCGGCGGCAGCGAACGGTGAGTGACGGCGAACTCGCCCGCTGGATGTCCACCGTGTAAAGTACGGAGGGCGCACACTTCACTGAAACGTTAACAATTTTGTTGTCTTACCCGGTGTAAGGTACCCACTGAGCTGTTCCTCTTCCAAATATGCAACAGGCGTCTGGGTCCGAGATGAAACCCACGACCTCCTGTACACGAGGTGAGGTAGTTAACATCTCACCTCTTTAACTCCTGCTATAATAAACAATAAAAAACGAGCTTAGGATAGAAGGCCTTGGTGGAGTCGCTACCCCCGTAACCTGATCCAGTTCGGAAAAGCGGGCCGATATTGATGGATTGATTGAACCGTTTTGAAACCGTTTTAACCCCCCTGATGCTGAACCGCTCTGCCCTTCCTCTGCAGGGTCGCGAGAGAGGGCCCACAGGGTGGCCTGCGTCCCGGGGATGGGCAACCCATCCCCCAGCGGCCACTACTTCAACAACGCGTGGCGGTCGGTGCTCTGTGACAATAGGCCATTCGACAGCCCGGCCGACGTCCGAAAGTGCCTCAGGCACAAGGAGGTGATCTTCCTCGGGGACTCCACCATCCGCCAGTGGTGGGAATACCTCAACTCGTTCGTCAAGGGTAAGGCAATGTGGCACCTTGGTGGCCTTCTGTGCGTAACGAGGCACAGAAACCCGTGGGTTCATTATACACTACACTACTATACACTACACTACTATACACTACTATATACTACACTATACACTACTATACACTACTATACACTACACTACTATACACTACACTATATAAACTACTATACACTACACTACTATACACTACACTACTATACACTACACTACTATACACTACTATATACTACACTATACACTACTATACACTACTATACACTACACTACTATACACTACACTATATAAACTACTATACACTACACTACTATACACTACACTACTATACACTACACTACTATACACTACACTACTATACACTACACTACTATACACTACACTACTATACACTACACTACTATACACCACACTACTATACACTACACTACTATACACTACACTACTATACACTACACTACTATACACTACACTATATACACTACTATATACTACACTATACACTACTATACACTACACTATTATACACTACACTACTATACACTACACTATACACTAATATACACTACACTATACACTACACTACTATACACTACACTACTATACACTACACTACTATACACTACACTACTATACACTACTATATACTACACTATACACTACTATACACTACTATACACTACTATACACTACACTATACACTAATATACACTACACTATACACTACACTACTATACACTACACTACTATACACTACACTACTATACACTACACTACTATACACTACACTACTATACACTACTACACTACACTACAGGGTGGATACAAAAATGTTAACACTTACATAGGACTATCTTTTTTAATGGAAAAAGCACGGATAATACACCTTAACATGAAAACAAATGTATGCTACTAGCTTCAAAAAAGTCCAGTAGTCTCCACTTGTTCGCCATCATCATCATCATGAACACAAACCTGGGATCTTCTCCAGGTGGTCTCCAGAGCCTGGCGGCACAACATTTGTCGTGACTCGGTTGAAAATTTTTGAAAGTGTTAACATTCTTTTGAAGCACCCTGTATGTGTGCCCAAATAGTGCCAACTTCCTTCCCGTCGCTGCCTGCCTGCATTCATCAGCTTTGTCTTAATCTATGGGGCCACCTTGTTTTTTTTATTACTTCTGCGTTGGTCACTCTTTGGGTCCAGCTTGATATACAGCAGTAATCCTTCTGCGGCCATAATGCATTTCGAGTGCCGATGCCTTAGGCGTCCACATCTCGAAGGCGTAAACGACGCTGCACCTTCGATAGATTGGAAAAAGAGCGCCGCATGAGAGACGCCATTCGGTCACCCCCACTGCTCTGGGTCCTTCTGCGCGCAGCTCCCTCGCGTGCGGGAAGACTCTTCCACCGGGCGCGTGCGGTGGGGCGGAGCGACTGTCCAGGCATTCACCGCCACCCCTCTCCCCCATCCTCCTCAGAGCTGAAGCTCGTGGACCTGGGAAAGAATGGCAGGCAGGACCCGAGGATGGCGTTGGACAGCGAGAACAGCATCCTGATGAGTTGGCACTGCCACACGTACCCGCTCATCACCTCCTTCTTCACGCACAAGGAGGAAATGATCAACGCCGCAAAGCGCATCGACGCGACGGTGGGCGGGGCCAACACGGTGATCGGGATCTGCCTGGGGGCCCATTTCACCGCCTTCCCGCTGGACGTCTTCCGCCGGAGGATCGGGAACATCGGCGCGGCCGTGGGCCGGCTGCTAGCGAGGAGCCCGCGGACAAAGGTGGTGGTGAAGCTGGCCAACACGTGCACGCCCGGCAGCTTGGAGATATTCAACAACTGGAACACGTTCCGCATGAACCGGATCACCATGGAGGCGTTCGCGGGCCTCAAGGTGGCGTTTGTCGACGCGTGGGACATGACGCTGTCGGTGGGGTCTCGGAATATTCACCCGGACAGGATCGTCGTGAAGAACGAGGTCGATCTCTTCCTGTCGTACGTTTGTTGAGGCCAACGCATTCACACCTGCTCCTTTGTCGCACCACCGCTGCTGTGGATGCGGAGCCACAGCCATGATGTCACGTTCGGGCGAGTCAAGCCTCGGAGAACTGCGGCAGGAGTAAGCAGAGATGTGAATCATCATCGCTGCGGTGATGTCTCCTTCGGGGCATTACGTCGTTACACTTTACGCTACGGTGCTGTTGTGGATGATCACAGTCGCACACTACTGCAGAGTTTTTATTGTTCCATGGGCAATGTTAGACTATGGGCAATGTTAGACTATGGGCAATGTTAGACTATTGGCAATGTTAGACTATGGGCAATGTTAGTCTATTGGCAATGTTAGTCTATGGGCAATGTTAGACTATGGGCAATGTTAGACTATGGGCAATGTTAGACTATGGGCAATGTTAGTCCATGGGCAATGTTAGACTATGGGCAATGTCAGTATATGGGCAATGTTAGTCTATGAGCAATGTTAGACTATGGGCAATGTTAGTCTATGGGCAATGTCAGTCTATGGGCAATGTCAGTCTATGGGCAATGTCAGTCTATGGGCAATATTAGTCTATGGGCAATGTTAGACTATGGGCAATGTTAGACTATGGGCAATGTTAGTCTATGGGCAATGTTAGACTATGTGCAATGTTAGACTATGGGCAATGTTAGACTATGGGCAATGTTAGACTATGGGCAATGTTAGACTATGGACAATGTTAGTCTATGGGCAATGTTAGACTATGGAACAATGTTAGAGTCTTCCTCTCGGCAATGTTAGTCTATGGGCAATGTTAGTCTAAGTGCAATGTTAGTCTATGAGAAATGTTAGACTATGGGCAATGTTAGTCTATGTGCAATGTTAGACTGGGCAATGTTAGACTATGGGCAATGTTAGTCTATGGGCAATGTTAGTCTTCTTCTCGGCAATGTTAGTCTATCGGCAATGTTAGTCTAAGTGCAATGTTAGTCTATGAGAAATGTTAGACTATAGGCAATGTTAGTCTATGGGCAATGTTAGTATATGGGCAATGTCAGTCTATGGGCAATGTTAGTCTATGGGCAATGTTAGTCTATGGGCAATGTTAATCTATGATCAATGTTAGTCTATGGGCAATGTCAGTCTATGGGCAATGTCAGTCTATGGGCAATGTTAGTCTATGGGCAATGTTAGACTATGGGCAATGTTAGTCTATGGGCAATGTTAGACTATGGAACAATGTTAGTCTATGGGCAATGTTAGTCTTCCTCTCGGCAATGTTAGTCTATGGGCAATGTTAGTCTAAGTGCAATGTTAGTCTATGAGAAATGTTAGACTATGGGCAATGTTAGTCTATGTGCAATGTTAGACTGGGCAATGTTAGACTATGGGCAATGTTAGTCTATGGGCAATGTTAGTCTTCTTCTCGGCAATGTTAGTCTATCGGCAATGTTAGTCTAAGTGCAATGTTAGTCTATGAGAAATGTTAGACTATAGGCAATGTTAGTCTATGGGCAATGTTAGTATATGGGCAATGTCAGTCTATGGGCAATGTTAGTCTATGGGCAATGTTAGTCTATGGGCAATGTTAATCTATGATCAATGTTAGTCTATGGGCAATGTCAGTCTATGGGCAATGTCAGTCTATGGGCAATGTTAGTCTATGGGCAATGTTAGACTATGGGCAATGTTAGTCTATGGGCAATGTTAGTCTTCTTCTCAGCAATGTTAGTCTATGGGCAATGTTAGTCTAAGTGCAATGTTAGTCTATGAGAAATGTTAGACTATGGGCAATGTTAGTCATGTGCAATGTTAGACTATGGGCAATGTTAGACTATGGGCAATATTAGTCTATGGGCAATGTTAGTCTTCTTCTCGGCAATGTTAGTCTATCGGCAATGTTAGTCTAAGTGCAATGTTAGTCTATGAGAAATGTTAGACTATAGGCAATGTTAGTCTATGGGCAATGTTAGTATATGGGCAATGTCAGTCTATGGGCAATGTTAGACTATGTGCAATGTTAGACTATGGGCAATGTTTGACTATGGGCAATGTTAGACTATGGGCAATGTTAGACTATGGGCAATGTTAGTCTATGGGCAATGTTAGACTATGGGCAATGTTAGTCTATGGGCAATGTTAGACTATGGGAAATGTTAGACTATGGGCAATGTTAGACTTTGGGCAATGTTAGACTATGGGCAATGTTAATCTATTGGCAATGTTAGTCTATGGGCAATGTTAAACTATGGGCAATGTTAGACTATGGGCAATGTTAGACTATGGGCAATGTTAGTCTTCTTCTCGGCAATGTTAGTCTATCGGCAATGTTAGTCTAAGTGCAATGTTAGTCTATGAGAAATGTTAGACTATAGGCAATGTTAGTCTATGGGCAATGTTAATATATGGGCAATGTCAGTCTATGGGCAATGTTAGACTATGGGCAATGTTAGTCTATGGGCAATGTTAGTCTTCTTCTCAGCAATGTTAGTCTATGGGCAATGTTAGTCTAAGTGCAATGGTAGTCTATGAGAAATGTTAGACTATGGGCAATGTTAGTCATGTGCAATGTTAGACTATGGGCAATGTTAGACTATGGGCAATGTTAGTCTATGGGCAATGTTAGTCTTCTTCTCGGCAATGTTAGTCTATCGGCAATGTTAGTCTAAGTGCAATGTTAGTCTATGAGAAATGTTAGACTATAGGCAATGTTAGTCTATGGGCAATGTTAGTATATGGGCAATGTCCGTCTATGGGCAATGTTAGTCTATGGGCAATGTTAATCTATGGGCAATGTTAGTCTTCTCGGCAATGTTAGTATATGGGCAATATTAGTCTAAGCGCAATGTTAGTCTATGAGCAATGTTAGAATATGGGCAATGTTAGTCTATGTGCAATGTTAGACTATGGGCAATGTTAGTATATGGGCAATGTTAGTCTAAGTGCAATGTTAGTCTATGAGCAATGTTAGACTATGGGCAATGTTAGTCTATGAGCAATGTTAGACTATGGGCAATGTTAGACTATGGGCAATGTTAGTCTTCTTCTCGGCAATGTATTTATGTTGAACCTATTTGGCGCCGTATCGCAGCCAGCCATGTTAATCGGAGATGCGGGGGAAGGACAACAAACGAACACACAACAACAATAACAGCGAGCAGTTTTCACGGAATGAGTTTTCAATCGAGCTGACGATTTAAAAGTGCAGAGCTCCAGTGACTTCCTATTTATCTGAAGGAAGAGTGCGGAAGTGCGGATTTGGCCTGATAACTTGAATCTAAATTGTCTCATGGTTAAATTTCGATTTAAAGCTTTCGTGACTGCAAGGATTAATCTTCTTTGGTTCTTTCAGTAAAGTCACGTAGAATGAGAATAAAATAATAAATATATAAATGATGAAGGCCGCTTGTGTTGTGGCCAAAACGTCGTGCGAATATTATTGTGTTATTTTATTTTATCAATTTATTATTTTATTCTCATTCTACGTGGTGACTTTACCGAAAGAACCAAAGAAGATGTCTCAAGGTTTGTTATTGTTTGTCTTCCATCACACTGGGATTTTTGCACACAGCGTTGTAACACGGTGCTTTCTTTTCTGGAAGATTTTGCTGGTTTATCCAGGATGTTTCTGTAGCGCGTCGTCGCTTCAAGATGTTTCTCTGTTCATATTTTGTTTGTTGCGGTTGCACCCGACTCAAGAGCCACATGGCTCACAGGGCTATACCTAATAAATTAAACTTGAAGTGAAAAGTAAAATTAAACTTGACACGGTGACCGCCTTTGTCCGCGTGAAGGCTTCAACTCGTTGACGAGATCAGCGAGAGATGCACCTCGCCGCCGATTCAGCATCGAGCTGAGAAGACTCAACAGCCGCGCTGTGGCAGCAGGAATCAGAATCAGAATATTTATTTATCCTGGAGAAATCTGATGAGCTGTGAAGCTCTTTTTCACAGATGTCCAGGAGGGGCAGGTCAAGAGAGTTACAACTATTAAAAAAACGATAAGAGTGCAAAATATAGGAAAGGTAAGCAAATCATTATGAATAAATAAACAAAAACTAAAATTTTATCTTACTGGGTAAAGCACACTGAGATATTCGTTATTTTTCAGAAGCGACCTGGCCACAAACGATAACTCTACGAAGTGGCTTATCATCACGTGGAAATGTATAAGCAGCCAAAAATTCTAGACGCGTGTTGATTCTAAATGCGCAAATGAAAAAAAACAGAAGCAGCTCAAGAAGTGTCCTCGGCCGTCAGCCGAAGATCAAAGATCTGTGGCTGTCTTCTGTCTTCTTGTGCCTTGTGTCTATTTGTTACCAGGTGCCTTTGCACCGTCTCATCTAAATTTGTATTTAAAGCTTTCGTGACTGCAGGGATTCATATTCTTGGTTCTTTCGGTAAAGTCAAGTAGAGGGGAAACGATAAAATAACATATATTTTTATATTTTTGTTATTTCATTGTTTCCCTTCTACGTGACTTTACCGAAAGAACCAAGAATACAGTCTCATCTCATTTATGTTTACATCGTGCCACCCGGCATGGGAGCCTTCAGTAACAGGAGTCTTTATTTATTCTCGCACGTGGCGCGGTGTTTAAGGATTCTCTTTTCTCCAAGCATCCCAAAGCTCACTCGCTTCTCCTTCGTGTATCCCTCCAGCCCCTTTGCCCAATGTTCCTTGCCCTGCCGCTTTCCTACCAGCCAATCGACCTTCCACTTTCACTAACGGGTTCCAGCCGTCCACCCTGTCAATCATCCTCCGTTTTTTTTCCGCTTGTTCCATTTGTACTTCTCCTGCAATCCCCTTCAGTTCCCTGCCCCTAAACAATCCCCTTGCAGGCCCGTTAAGTAACCAATCAGAGGGCCTTGTTTTACTTGCTGACCGACCGTGTCGTGCTCGCCGTGCCCATGACGTCGGGCGAGAGTTTTCGGCTGTGATTGAATGGACAATTCAATTTGGGCGAGTTCCCTACTGGCACTTGCGGGCACTGCATCCAAGGCTTACCACCCAGAGTCCAGGGGAGTCCAT